AATATTCCTTCTTAAGGTTTTGTCACTTTATTTAGTAATACTTAATGTAACAAAACCATGAAAGGTATTCATAGTGTACAAGGCGGCTTATTAACACACCTACAATATATGTTGTACGTTTTATGCATTTGTAACCACAACATTCACGTAAAATTTGCCTATATGTTTAGCTACTCGTAACGAGAACGTATATTATTATTATATTTAAACATTGTTTTAAAATAATGATAATGTTATAATTTTAAAACCTTTGTTTTTATTTTGTGTTTAAGATTTACTTGTTTACAATTCGGCTAGATAAAAGGGGAATGGCAACCCGAAGGACCCTACAGCCAACAGAGGCTCCACACATTTACGAGGTGACGACAGTATTGTCTTATACTAATTGACGATAATGGTTGGTTGAAAATATATAAATAATTAAACTTTAAAAAAGATAAAAGCTGAGTTCATAAAATTAAATAAAATTTCCAATTTCCAAATAATTTAATAGCTTCTGAAGTCGGTGCGAAGACAAAGTGTTTTGAAGTATTGATGCACAGAAACTATAAAATTATGTGATATATTCTTTTTTAGCCCGAAGTCAGTTCTTAGTTTTATTTATTAGTTAAAATATGTGATCTATTTAAATGGACAAGACAATAATACATAGTGATATCTAATAATGAAATATTATTGCAACAGGAATGATTTCTTCAAATTTAAATTTCACTTTTACACAATTTAGGTTCCACGCTCGGGATATATAGTCAATTCAATAACATAAGTCTTTTAAAACTTTTACAATCGGCAAAGATATTGCGTAACACTTAGAAAACAAACAGTCAATTTGAGAAACTGCTTCTTTTGTAAGTCGGATGATAAAATAACAAACTCACTGAGTATATAGAATATATTATTACCTCCATATATTATACCTGTAATACCTCTGAATATATGATCAGTACTTGATCCATAGTGAACGTAAACATCACACCGAGTAACATTAGATACTCAATACGAAGCTGTAAAATAACGTGCTTAAATCCTAGAGCCCATAGATGATACTAAGCGGCAATATTGGCTCGTGATATTCAAAGCGGTTTCATAATAATATTGTGATATTTTACAGTCTTGAGCGCTGAGAAATATAGATCTCGTTATTGTAAACTCAATGGGAAAATCGATAATGAAATACAAAAGCAATATAACAGTATTGCTATTGTAATTTAAAATATGTTTGTACTTATCATGAATAATAAATTTATAGATGTAATATTTTACATAGCATGTGTTCTCTTGGGGTAGGGAGACGTAAAATCTACGTAAAGATCAATAATTTATTTAACTCCAATTATAATGATCCAATCCTGACGTGGTAGATTGTAAATGTGGCTGATTTATATCTCGACATGGTAAGAGCCATGTGCAACTACATTATGGTTGAAATAAGTGGGCTCGAAACCTCTATAGATTACCTCCCTTTCCGTAGTCGGTGAACTACGGAAAGCAAATTTTCTTATCCGGCTACATAATATATGCAGCATAACCACGCCAAGATAGGCAATAAGTGACTGCCCCATAGTTATGGGGTATGAGGATATCCGGGTAATGGGGTATACCCCGAGGCCCGATACCTGCACGTACTTAGGTACGTACAGAAGACATCAACGTTAGTGGGCTCGAACGGGGAAGGACCACGCTCTCACAGAATGCCAGCGTAAAATAACAGCTTAATGTTAACTTAATGTTACGGTTCAGGCAGCTCTAACTTATTTTGGAAATGCGAGACTGTTCATGGGAAAAAGAAAAGCAGCAACTTATAGATATACATGATAAGAGCCATCTGCAACTACATTATGGTTGAAGCACAAATAAGTCGACTCGACAAAGGAAGGACTACCCTCTCACAGAATACCAGCGTAAAATAGCAGCTTAATACTGCTGTTTTTCGTATGGCGAGTGTAGAGAATCCGAGACCTTTATACTGGAAATAATGCATTCCATTAGTTCTCAGGGGTGACAATACATCTGCATTTAGATTCTTAATCGAGGATACACGTAGATGTCTATGAGCCACAGCATCCACATATCATCAGGTGGACTGTGTGTTCGTTTGACACCCTAATTTTATAAAAAAATCCACACACTTAACCACTGCTTTATATCAATTTATCTGTATAGAAAAAATGCTTTTAGCACAAAACCCATACATTTTACCTTAAAATTTTATCTAATATAAAAGGTTTTAATTAATTACTTTTGGACTTTAGTACGCTTAATGAAATCAATTTTTCATAGGGGAAAAATGAAATATTTTATTCTCGAAAAAGTTATAGAACTAAAATTTCTAGGTTTCATTTCAATTCATATAGATTTGATATTTTAACCTTATAAAATCTAAATTATTTCGCACTTAAATTTTAATATTAAAAGAGTTTTAATTTTAATTTTTAGATAAGTATGTTGCAGATGTCTCGCATCTTTACACTACTGTATTTGACATTATACATATGCCATATACAAGATTGGGCTGCGGTTGCTCAAGAGCTAAACGGTCGTCGCGTTTTTTATAAACTGAAGTTATTAACGAACCTATAGTTCACCTTATGGTAAGTAGCCACTTATGCAGTAGCCACTGCTGTCTATGAGCATCCGTAACTAAATTCAAACAAAGAAATCTACATATGCGTTATCACTTCTAAGGGCTAAGATGGAACACCTCCACAGCCTGTAACTATACTGGATCTCTATACACTTCAGACCAGAACACAGCAGCCCAGTATTATTGACGGCAGACATAGATAAGAGGGTAACCTATCCAAACGGAGTCCTAGTCAGAAAACCTACTACACTGTAAAAGTGTATGCAAGCAGCCCGCGTTCCATCCCCGTCGGCACTAATGATAGTGTTAATTGCTATTTTAAATATTGCTTTACCACGTGCTCGATGGTGATGACAATATCTTGAGGCAACCTGCACTTCCGAAGAATAAAATGTTATGAGACCGTTTGAAATCCGCTAACACGCACTGCGGACTACAGTTACAGCCTATTGAAAGTCAACTGCCGAATATAACCCTAAGATTTTCTCGTTTTGGGCACATCTGCCATAGTTGCCACGCTTGGTAGGCTGGATGGCAACTGCATCCATCTCCGAGTTTGTTTCCTTCTGCCGCCTCTTACGACACTCACGGGTTGATATGGAGTATTTGCGGACTTATCGTTCCATAACTTATCATCAATGAGAATAGGCCTGCGCTTGGCATTGCAATGTATGTAGATACTGTTACGCGCTCAAGTCGACGGCACTAGCGCCATCTAGTCTCGAACCGAAGAACTAAACTTCTTGAAGTTGAAACACGAACTCTCGGTACCTTGCGCGTGTTTACTTGAATATTCTGAATATTTCGCTGCTAATTTATATAAATAGGCGCTGCAAGATGCGATCGGGAAGTATTGAAGTTGGCGAGACAAGCGAAGCTTCGGAGCGGAATAAAGTGATTCAGTGTGATTAATTATTAGTGTTTTTAACTTTAATTAGTGTAAAGTTAATTAAAGTGTTAATTTAGGTAATTCTATCGGCAATTTTTATTGTCACGAACCTCAAGCTCGTAACAATACTTTTAATAATAAATCTGATATTCCCGCACTCATAACCCTAGTACCAACTTTAGTCTGCGAAATTTGAGTTGTACAATTTTCAAATAGATATATCGCCATTTCTCATTCGTAAGGGCCTCGTTTAATCGTCAAATTAGTAGGGTTGAAGTAACATCAAACGCCCCCTATCCCGTCCCGAAATTGTTTGTGTTACATACAGGTGACTTAAACTATTTCATACGGCCATAAAATACTAATAAAATTATTCTTTACGAGGTAATTCTACGAAGGCATACAGAGGATTTGTCTAATGTCTATTATTTATTTAAAACTATGGTACAGGTGTTAGAGAAAAGATTTATTTCTGTGAGAGTAAAAATGTAATACAAAATAGTTAACTAGCGATCCGCCAAGGCTATGCACGAGTGATTTCTCGAGCTAGACAATAGTGCCATCTACCGGGTCCAAGTGTAAACCTAAGCCATCCAGGGACCCAAACACACACAAAAAAAATCATCAAAATCAGTCCAGCCATTTTCGAGTTTTTGCAAAACTAATGGACAACAATTGATTTTTATAGGTATATGTATAGAAATTATTACATAGCTTCTTTTGACTACTATTTTGTGGTTGGCTAAGATTAAAAATTACAAATTCTTCTACGAAATTTTATTGCTTTCAGCTAGCAGTAACCATGTTTTTATATATTAGTAACATTTTTATATACATTATTAATATGATTATTTAATTTTCGATAATGTCATTGCATTACCTTTACGCCTTAACAGCTTTTTTACTAAACACAGTAGGTTAAAGTCAGGCTGGGGTGGCCCTTGAGCCACCCTAACCGCGTATGCTTATAAAATATAGCACATAGTGCATAATTATGTAAGATATTTTGTATTAGACGCATTGCCTGAAACGCATGGGCTAAATATCATTCAGGCTGTTAGTTAAATGGCATCGTTTAGTATAAAAGCTAGACCGTTAGTATACCTAAAACTGTAACTGAAAAGCTATTTAACTTAGTTGACTGCGTCATACTCGTATATAATTTATTCGTTTGTGCGTCTGTTAGTGATCGTGTAACTTCTGTACAACTGTTAAGTTGTTAAGTTGGCAAGTGTCGATTAATATCATATTCAAAAAATATATTTGTTTTGTAAAGACGATGGTTCCTAGATATATTAGGATCCGATAGGTGGTGTTGTAGTCTAGTTATCAACTAATTCTATATTTGTTTAGTGCCAAAAAGAAAATCACTTAACATAGACCGAGTGGAGTTGTTTATACATTTTAAATTTACAATGTTACACGTCTAGAGTGATAACCATCACGCCACCTATTGAAAATTCTAGAACAACGTCTTCCCGGTCAGCTAGTATTAATTATAAGAAAGAATAATAGGTTACAACTTACTTCCGAATCCTTCGCCCAGTTCGTGTACGCATCCGAGCGCTTACCAAACCTGTAAACAATCGTAAATAATTATAAGCAAAAGTATTTTAATAAATTTTCACATTCGGTTTTCTTTATTTAAAAAATAGTGGTTGGTATCTGAAGTGCTGGATACTGGCCTTAAATTACAGAGTAAGATTCGTGGCGGTACCAAGAAAATAGGTAATCACATTTTTAAGTACTGATTTAACACGTGATTAGCAGTGAAGGAAAATATCCTAGAAGCCTAGTGACGAATTAGTGACAATTCGTTACAATTAGTGACTTAAGAAAACAAATTAGTGACGTGATATTTTAGAAGATATTGCCCTTTTTTGGGAGGATGCTAGCTTGAATTTAAGTTAACAACCTCCTCTCGAAAACACCAGTATTGTCTGCGTCTGAGATGTGATTTTAATTTTAGTGACTAATTGGTGACTTTCATACACCAAGATTGAAACATATTGCTTCAACGGAACTGTAACTTATTCGTATGTCTGAGGGAGGATTTTGGCTTGAAGATTATATATCATCTAATAACTCTAGAACGTCTATGAAATATGTGTCAAAATTGAGTGACTAAATAGTGACTGTAAGTTTTAAAAAAACAGTCTAAATTTATCAATCAGAACTTAGTAAAAGCGGTACTTAAAGTGTTACGATAGTAATGAAACTTAACGAAACGATAAATAAAAATGCTAGAAGTAATCTGGGCTATGTTTTCCTTTACAAACCTATTCACAACATTAAATAAAATATTGATAATTATTTAAAAAATGCTAAGATAAACACAACTATTTTAATTAATTTATAACATTTGTGCTACACATAAATTAAACGTTTTGATTAAAATATGTAAATAAACTCTGATAAATCCCAAATTTTTTTATGGAAACGAGCACTCAAACAAGTAGGTTGAATCAGAGATTAAAAGTTTCCAATGCGGTAGTTATCACAGTGTTGCCTTCAAAAGAAGAGTAAAATGGACTAACAACTGGAAATTTTTATATGTTTAATCCAATGATTTATGAAAATTAATTTATGCAAATTTCTTCATATTTAATCTTTAATATTGGACTAGGACAGCGAAGTAAAAAGAAGCCTTGAGGCCCCAATTATTCAAAAAGCAATATCAAGGAATGAATTAATAACTTCAATAAAATGTGATTTTCAGATTAACTTACTTTTTGCTAATATTTTATTTAAATCATCTTACGTTTTAAACTAAAAATTAATATACTGGGTGATTTTTTAACGTCTGAAAAAAATAAGGTGTAATAGGTGAATGGAATAGAAGCCTATGGCACTGATATTTTACAATTTTTTTAAAAACATATTATGAAATTGAGCTATCAATAAGTACCACTAATATGAAATAAACTTTCGATCATAAAAAAAATAAAAACAAATATCTTGAACTAAATAAATAAATCAATTAAAAACCATCGAAATTGAAATAATACGCACCCAATTAGTAGTATTTATTGGTAGATCAATTTCATAATAGTATATGTAAAAAAACCCGCCAAGAGCGTGTCGGGCCACGCTCAGTGTAGGGTTCCGTAGTTTCCCGTCAGTCACAATAAGTGTTCCCCTTTATGAGTTTAAAGGTGGGTATCCATTATGTTCGCGCTCCAGCAGCGCTCCGCGCTCCTGCAACTGCTCCCGGTAGGGAGTACATTTGTTTCCATCCAAGTTCAAAATGATTTTCCTAGAATGTCCTTATAAAGTTCTACTTTTCAGATTTTTTTCATATTTTCTAAACGTATGGTTCAAAAGTTAGAGGAGGGGGGGACACATTGTTTTTTAATTTTGGAGCGATTATTTCCGAAATTATTGACATTATCAAAAAATGATTTTAGTAAACCCCTATTCATTTTTAAATATCTTTCCAACAATATGTCACACGTTAGGGTTGAAATAAAAAAAAAATCACTTCCCACTTTACATATAGGGGGCTACCCTAATAAAACATTTTTTTTTCCAATTTTTATTTTACCACTTTGTCGGCGTGATTGATACACATATTGGTACCAAATTTCAGCTTTCTAGTGCTAACGGTCACAGAGATTAAGCGAGGACGGACAGACGGACAGACAGACATGGCGAAACTGTAAGAGTTCCTAGTTGACTACGGAACCCTAAAAATGTAAAATATCAGTGCCATAGGCTTCTATTCTGTTCACATGTTACACCCAATTTTTTTCCAGACGGTAAAAAATCATCCAGTATAATACAAGAAAAAACAAAAATTTCGAAGACATGTGAAGTTCACCAATACGCATTGGGGCAGCGCGACGGACACTTCCTTGCCCTAAAATCCTCTCAGAAATGGGGGGAGGCCTGTACCCAGCATTGGAACCTATATAGGGCTGTAACTTTAAAAATTTACAACGCCCTTTGTCCCAGTAGTCATTTAATGGAAACCTATCAGTCTGAGAAATCTTCAAAAAGCAAATGATTTATGAACATTTACATGAATCAAAATTCTAATGTTCAGCAAAAACTAAATAAGGTTTTAAATAACAAGGGTAACAACCAAGCACACAGTCCACCTAACGGTAAAAAGTGGATAACATATCCATAGACATCTACATATATCCTCGGTTAAGAATTTAAATGCGTTGTCACCCCTGTGGAATAAAATAGAATGCCTCCTGCTACAATATAACTGCAACATGCTCGTATTTGGAAACATTAACAACCCGCGCATGGAAGCTAAGGTCATTCGGCCAGTTGTGGAATTGATCGCACATGGAACATTTGTTTCGTCGGCCGATCAACTTCAGCGCATATTGGAAGATTTATACCCAGTCGGTTGAATATTAAAATGTGTCCATTTGTACGCCGAAAACTAGCATGCATCCATTAGTTTGTGCAAGATTAATAAATAGATAATTTGTCAGAGAACATTTTCAGAAGCGTGTTTCAACCAAAGGCATTATTTTTTCCGAATTGGTGATAATGCATTAATTTTCTGGGGTAATTAAAAGCGTGTTGCTTACTTAGAGGTGATCAGCCGAATCACAGGGTCCCATGCACGGCATCACGTACACAACTATAGTTAGTAGTTACACCATTTTCAGAATCGGAGTTTTGTGACTCATCACACATTTTAAAACTAGCCGGTCACTTTTGCACGTGTAACTTTTAACTAAAACACTGCGAAATAAATAATACTGGTAATTCTCAAAACTTGTAATATTATTTCCATAGAACAAATTCTTTTTCTGTTTAATTTACGAAAACTTTAACGTAGTGAACTAATAAATTTTAATACGATCTATCTCAATCTCGATTAAACATCCCAAAGCTATAGGAATTTCGACAGCCTTAGATGAAATACAGTCGAATAAACTAACCGTAAACAGACTTCCAGGAGGGTTAAATAATCTTTAGAACGTATGTGAATAGCTTTCATTTTTATAGAACACATATAATGTAAGCTCCGAAACATTCCTAGTAAAATCTTCATACAATAAAAGTTAAACTGTGTATTTTATTTTTTAGTATACAATTACGTCAAACCCAATTATCTTAACTAAATCAGTGCTTTATAGTAGAAGCGTTCATGAATTCTTCCATTTTATACCGTGTTAGAAGAGTCGACTAAGAGAAATTCCAGAACAGACATAATAAGAGTAGTATGCATATATTATTGACTGATGTAATATATAAAAGATTTAAACCATCCCTTATTTAAAGTAACAGTCACCATCTCTCATTTTCATTAAAAGGATCTGGAACATGGCGACACGTAATGCCGCACTGGTCCAATGCGTGTTGGCTCAACCGTGACTAATTCGACAAATCCAATTATAGTAGCGTGTCTGGAGGTGGACTGATAGAGAGAAAAATATTAAAAACATAATAAATTATGCACACCTTTGCATATATTGATCTCCGCATATACTAGCACTTGTATATATAAATGTCAGTGTTTGCATATTTTGTTCTTAGCTTCTTTTTCTGATGTTGAATGAACTTTCAGTTTAACATCCAAAAATTAAATAGGTAATTTTGAAATATGAAAAAATCATACCTTTATTTTAAGCTACTCTTCAGCGATTGCTTCATCTTTACTTTAAATTTAGTGTACAATCAAAAGCTATCTCTTAATTAACCATTCACAAATATTATAAAAGTTTCTAAAGGCAAAAATATAACAAGAGATCATGAATTCATTAATGGCTACCGCTTAGAGCACATTATAAACATCCACATGGGCGAAATAAAATATAATGATATTAGAGTTTAAAAAACAACATACTTTGATCACGAGCTGTGATGGTCCCAATGAGAATAAGACAACAAAACTAAAAAATTACAAAGTTCATACATATATATATACATTTATACAAATCAAGCTAGCGTGTGTAAAAATCATGCGGGTCATCATAGCTACATAGTTTAGTAGTATAGTACTTATTAGTATAGGTAGTAGCATAGTACTTATTTTCTGTGCGAATATTAATTTTTACCGGAAAAAATATTTCGCGTACTTATAGATTTTTTAGTAAAATTAAGTAGGTAACGAAAACCAAAAAAAAATATATTTTTTATTTTATAAATTTTATTAAAAATAATCTGATAATTTACAATTAACAAAAATACTCGTAATACAAAATAAGAACTTGAACTCTCTTAGTGAGTCTGTACATGTCTTTTATAAGAATATAAAACAAACATTATAAAATGAAAACAATTTGAATATTCTACGTTTCTACGTTAAAAACTATCATGACTATATCATGATATATATTGAATACTTGACGTATCATGCAATACCTTTATTTTGCTTAAATATACTGGATGACCTTTTTTACTGAAAAAAGGGAGTAGAAGCTATGTGAAGGGAGTAGAAGCCTATGTCACTGATATTTTACAAGAAATAATAACAAATATTATGAATTAATCGTTCGAAAAATTTTCTTGAGCCTCTGACCCTGCGAAGTTACAAGGTCAAATATGCCTACCAAATTTATTGTTTTATTGCCGTTCTTAAAAATTAGAGTGGTATCATTCGTAAAG